ATCCTCAATCAATCATCATTATTCACTGACATATTACATGAAATTGCACCCAATTGTCAATTTTAAGTTCACAAAGTATAATACAAACATGTATATTATATTGCTGACGGGATATACCCTAATTAAGATACTATTATCAAAATATTTATGCATCTAAACAACGATAAACAAAAAAGATTCAAGGCAATTTAAGATTCATCAATGAATGATGTTGAGCACGCTTTTTGTGTTCTCAAATGCTGTTAGGGTATCTTTGATAGAAGACACGAGCAGTGCATCCTTAAAAACCGAAATATAATGTACACTTGCTTTATATTATACATATGATTTTAAAAGACAAAGGTGCATTCTCAAAAACCCACTACAACCATCAACTGAATCTTATAGAACATATTGTAAATACCTATATACTATACTCAACCAAGACAAATAATTGTAATTTTGTTTTGATATTATTTATTTAGGTAAAAAACTTTATTTGATATTATTTTTTTAGCTTTTAATTTTATTTTACATTTAAGTCATTCTTTTAGTCTCCATTTATTCTAAATATTTTATAAAGAAAGTGTCGGATGTTGAGTAATAGAAAGATGACTATTTCCATGGTTATAGGATGTTTTTGGGATGGAGTGAAAAAATAGATAAAATGTAATGTGATGTTGATGTTAACAAAGGAATGAAAGTTTGGAAAGATGACTAGTCATTCCACCCTTAGCATAGAGGGAGTACATCCCTCCTAAGCCACAAGCGACATAAGCACCCTATTATATTTTCTCTCTCCTCTCATATCCCTTCCAACACACAACAAATGAAAATTCATCATTATCAACCTATATACTTTGCTATAGCTTACTATACATATGGCATAAATGATACAAGAGAAAAGAATACTGGTAGCATTGAGTTCGTGAACCCTCAACCCACATCTTGTACGGTACAACAAACGACATACCAATATTCATGGATCGAGTTACCGAGGGTACCACCCATGGAAGCTTCTTTTACCACACAGCTTTGTGCATCCTTAAGGTATGTGTTATACTCTCTTTTAACCTTTATTTCAGTTTGTTCCACCTCAATGCCACGTCACTTCCATCCTCTATTTTTCACTGATCAATCTTTCATTCCAAGTTATATTCTTTCTTTCACTTATAAATAACAATGTATAAGCCATTAAAAAATAATATACAAGAAAAAGAAGGGGAAATGAGTGAGAAAGGAGAGACACAACTCACAAAAACAGAAGAAGAAGAGGGAACATGGAGACGAGTCTACAACGGGGATGGTCTCATCGGGGCCACCAAGGGTCGACATGGTGTTCCGGCCAGTGTTTGAAGCCACATTAACACCCCACTATCATTTGGAAGTATACATAACACATATCCTTATGGTTTGGTTTTAAAACAAGCCAAGTAAATGTAAAAAAAACATGGGGAACAAATTAAAATAATAAATAAACTTGTATGCTTGCTACCTAAATATTATACACAAAAACTATCTCCATCTAGAATATAATTAAGACCATAATTTAAATTTAAATGATTAAAATGATGTAATCATCTAATAAAATTAGTTTTTATTTTTACTTTTTAAAGTTAAATAAGTTCCCCCCTTGTCCACTACGAATCCCCAATATTACAAGATTTAGGGGATGAGACTCGCCTTTGGCAATGATACTAAACAACCATTATGGAAGTGTATCACATACCTTTTCCTAGCCAACTCTTGATTGAAACTCTTAAAGTTTGAACTTTAGAGCTTATGAAGTCCCAAGTGTTACTTGGTGAACCACCTAGGTGTTTGTTATAATAAGTTTTCTGTTATTTAGTATAAAATGATCACCAATTTTGTAAATCTTATTATGAATTAAGAATTTTTTTACCACAAAAAGACTATATGAAAACTCGAAGAAAATATTATGTAATAATATTCGAGTCATGTCATTAGATGTGATATACTTGTAATAATATTACGATATTATATATTTGTCTTATAATATTGAATTATTTTCTAAGTGTTTTTTTTATATTATTTTATATTTTTAGCTACCTTGTTAATTAGTTTTTAGAAAATTTAAAATGAGTTCACCACACTCATTGCGGCAACCCGATATTTCAAGGTTTGTAAGAGAGAACTCACATTTCACGATGATACAAGCAACCCTTTTAAAAAACATTAGGTGTAAGACCCATATATTACATGAGTTAATTAAAAAAAGATTAAATATAAAGATCTAATTATTTAAGAACTTTGGATTTATAAGAAAATAAAAAAATAATGAATTATTATAAAAATAAATTTTTTTATCTTTTAAATTTAAATAAATAAACAAAATAAACTAATGAGCTTTAATTTAGGAATTTTGAAATAAAAATGTAAGTCCATTAAGACTACTAGGTGTGGGCAACATGTTATTACATGTTACCACACCCAAAAGGTGTCATGTCAGCATCCTACTCATACATGGGTGTTATAACACCCAAGGTGGAAATGAGCAACATCTAATAACATGTGATAACACCAATTATCTTATATTTTTATTTTCTATTTTTTATGTTCTTTTTTCTATATTTCAAATTTGTTATTTATTTATTTATTTATATTTGAAAAGTAAAAATAAAATTTTAATAAAACTTAAATTAAAAACAACATTAAAAAAAATTACAACAAAACAAAAAAACATTTAAAAACCTAAAAAGCAAAAAAAAAAAAAGATTATAAAACCTACATTTTTTGGCCTAAAACTATTCATCTTCGTTTTCGTGACCAACATAGATGTAATCCGCCAAGTCTTCACGGAGTTGCTTGTGTTTTCGCTGATCTTGAATATCAACCACTCTATGTAAATATTCCGATGTCCCTGGTTGAAATTGCACATGTCTTGGCTCCGTAGGCGAATACGTTGCAATATTGCGTCCTTTAGCTTCGACAACCATGTTATGCATTATGATACATGCATACATGATATATCGTAGAGTATCTAACTCATAAGGTCTCGCTGCATGTTCAACTATGTGCCATTTTGATTTCAAAACCCCAAAAGCACGTTCAACGTCCTTACGTGCTCCTTCTTGTCGTCTCTTGAAATATTTGTCCCTTGGATCTATTGGGTGTCGAAACGCCTTCACAAACGTGGAAGATTGTGGATATATTCCGACTGTAAGGTAATACCCAAACTTATATTCGTTTCCATTCACTGTGAATGGAGCATCCGAGGCTCTTCCTGACAAAAGATCGTCAAATATTGGTGATTGATCGAGAACGTTGACGTCGTTGTTAGAACCCGCAACACCGAAAAAAGCATGCCAAATCCATAAATCTTGTGAAGCAACAGCCTCTAAGACCAACGAAGGTGCTCCATGATGACCGCTCGAATACTGACCTTTCCACGCCACGGGGCAATTTCTCCATTTCCAGTGTGTACAGTCAATGCTCCCAAGCATACCCGGAAAACCATGTCTTTCTTCATGCGCCGCATATAGTTGTTGCATATCATGCAACGAAGGTTTGCGCAAGTATTGGTCACCGAAGGTTTCGACAACACCTCTTGCCAATAAATACAAACTTTCTCGTGCGGTCTTCTCAGACATTCTCATATAATCGTCAACAGAATCGGGCTACTCCCCCATTGCCATAAGTTTTATTGCAGCAACACATTTTTACAACCCTGTGAAGCCTCGTTTGCCTCTAGCATCATATCTCATTTGGAAAAATTCATACCTAAATAAATATTAAACATGTAAAAATTGTATTTATTTTATCTAAAAGTGACATTTTGTAATTTATAAAAGTTGAAACATTTTTCGCAAATGGAATCTTCTTTTGAAATCGCTTGGCTGGTAGACACAATTTTCGGCAAAGTAATCGTTAACTAGACGTCTATGCCCTTCCTCACGATCTCTATTTAACGCCGCACGTCGCGTGAGTAGTGGAGCTGGATCTGGATATAGTAGGTTGTCTGTATAATACCGGTACATCATACTCACGTACAAATCGTTTTCGTCGTTATCATCGTTGTACGGATGAGCCGGATCAAGACGATTCATATTTTTGTTTTGAAATATTGAAAGAATTATGTAGTTGAGAGAAATTTATGTTTTTTGTATTTAAAAATGATATAAGTTGTATGTATTTATAGTGTAAATTTTTTTTAATAAGTTACCGTTTGAAAAAATGGTCGAAATTGTGACCGTTTGAAACAATTAAGCGCGTTATGGCCCGTTGTCGTGATAACATATAGTAACGTAACACCTAATAACGGCTAGGCGGGGCGGTGTTCCACCCGTTATGGCGCCGTTATTAGCGTGCCAAATCGGATAACGTGGGTTCCGAGTTGCCCACACCCGGCTCTCTAATGAAATTGATATTCATTTATTACTACATTTATTATAATTATTACATTAAAATATTATATAGAATTTGTTAAAATAAAAAAATCTATAAAATGATATATGGAAAAGAAATTAATTCAAAATAATCACAAAATGACATTTGATAAATTGAATAATAATATAACATATGACAAAAAAATCTTTATTTTTTTGAAACGGCAAATCTAACTTATTCCTAATTAATCTACACCTTAAATCCACATATGTCCACGACGAGACTTAAACCCTCAACCTTAAGGATGAAGGGCAACACCGGATACCGCTGGGCTTATTAGATTAGATTTGATGCACCGTTTACCGTTCATTGAAACTCTCCATATTTGAACACAAGACCGTTATAAGATGCTCAAGTATTACCCGGTAACACACCAAATTTTTACAAAACTTAACTTATCAACTAAATATAGTGTTTCAGTTAATCGATCAATAACATGACCACATTTAATTAATGTCCTATAATAGTAGGATCATTAGGTCATAATTTTGGTTGACTTGAACTGATGACAACCGATAAAAGGACGGCATTGTTAGTAGTGGAATACCTAGGCTGAGAAACAACCTGCAATATAAATTTGTTTTGTAACAATAAATATTTTATATTATTATAGTACCTTCAGAATCTTACTTAAACAGTTATTTTGTTTCTTTCACAAAGTCAGATCTAGGCTTGTACTAGTACTACCACCCACTGTTTTTGCATGCTTTGATCTTCTAATGTTACTAGGGCTTTTAGTTGAAATTGACGAAAACAATGATAAGGCACACTCGCTCTCATTGACCTCATTGTTTCTTGTATCATCATTTTCATGGGTTTTCATTTGTAGCGAAAGATTTAGATCAAGATCATGATTTTCTTGATCCTGTTGATTGATCTCCTTCCTTTTGAGTACCATTTTGTCTTGATCGTTGATGATGATGTCTGATCTATTATCCGTTTGAGTTTTGATTCGGATTGGCTTATCTCTTGACCAACCATAATGATCTCCGAATAATCTCAACTGGGATTCTTCACTATTATTGTTTGCGAGGCATCTAAAATTTGAGCTGTTGTTCATTTCATAGATTAATCTCTCAGCTCTTGAACCATGAACACCATTGCTAAGTCCACCTGCTATAAAAGGGTTGCAATCTTGGTTTGTGTGGTGACTCCAAAGACCATCTGAATATCTGATAATCGATAGAAGATATGAATAATTAAGGATGAAACAAATTAGTGATTTTAATATCAAAAAGTTCAAAACTATTAGAAAGGATAACAGTTTAATTTATTTAATATCTTACCTAAAATTGGAAATTGATTTTTGAGAAAAACTTTGGAGCATGGGAAGTTGGCTAAGGTTGTAAATATGATGATCATCACTTTCATAAAGAAGCCTTTGTTCTGAAACAGCTGCAAAAATATTTGAAAGCTTGTAATAAAAATTAAATTCCTTGAAATTTTCTTGAGTAGTTATGTTGTGTATTTACCTTGATTTGGATCGTCAATCGTCTTGCTTCTATACATCTACTTAAACAAATTCAATCGACAGAAATTATGAAATATTATTATAATTGATAAATATAAAAAATGAACTGTAATTAAAATGAAATTTAATTAAATAAAAAGAATTACTTGAAGATGGCTTTTGACATGGGAGATGCTAAGCCCTTTAATGTTCATCAATTGAAGAACTAACTTCGGTGTTGCTCCTGTATAAAACACATTAGATTTCATTAAAATAAGCTATTTATTGAGGAAAAAGTTTGATAACTAATTAATAGAACATAGAACCACATGAAATAGGTTGATTATTGCTTACTTTCTTGACCTCCCAATTTCTCAACTGCATGAATAAATCGGAGATGGAGTTCGGGTGTCCACCGGAGTCTAGGGTTCTTGGAACGAACATAGGGTCGCACATAACCGGTGGCTGAGTTAGACTTCTTCTCGCTCTCTTCTACTGTGCTGTTGCTTGAAGTTGATCCATTTTTGGGTATACTAGTACTTGCTGAGTGATGATCAGCCTTTTCTAATTCAGCATCTTCTTCTTCTTCTTCTTCCTCATCAGCATCTTCTTCTTCATGAAGGCCTCGAAAACTAGGGTTTTTCTTCGTGGTATAGTCTTCTTGTTCATGATCTTCTTCTTTGAAGATATCGCTTCTCTTCATTTCTATATGGATATTTGTGAAACCTGCAAAACTTATTGTTGAATCATCCGTATACACTTAGGATTCTCTCTCTCTCTCTCTCTCTCTCTCTCTCTCTCTCTCTCTCTCTCTCTCTCTCTCTCTCTCTCTCTCTCTCTCTCTCTCTCTCTCTCTCTCTCTCTCACACACACACACACACACACACACAAATACGAGACCGAAGGTGAAGTGGGTGGATATTATTCTCTGGAAGATACAAGCTGCTAGAGCTAGCTCTAACACGCAAAATTAAAGAAAGATACAACTGGAAGGAGAAATACCTTTGCCTAGCAAAGAATTTAAACAATAGAATCTCTCTCTCTCTCTCTCTCTCTCTCTCGTGTACTTAAAGTTTTTTTTTTTTTTTTTTTTTTTGGAACAGCTGAAGTTTATAAAGGAAACCTACCAAGTCGCTATGAAAGAAACAAAAACAGAGTTACATGAGATGTAATTAACGGGTTACATTGTCATTATATAAAGACTCAACCAATAATCTAAATGAGAAAGGATAATAAGATGTAACTGTTTTAGTCCTTAGTAAATTAAAGGAACTGATGATATGAGATGGTCAAGGTCGTTTTTGCATAGTTATAAAACGACGACAATATTAATATTTATAAAGATACTTGCAAAAAACGGGGATAATAAAGCCAAAAAACGGCTACAACAGTATCAAGTCTAAACAAGCGAAAACCAGATTGCAACACTAAGTCCATATATATGTTTTGCATGAAATGTGTAATTTGCATACTTCTGTTGTGTCGATTATTGATCATTCCTTTTCGTCTTCCCCTTGCGAACTACGTATTTCCTCATCGTTTAAGCTCATCATAGTTGTGTTTATGAACTTTAACGAAATTTGTACTCACGTCTACAAGTTATTAAACTCCCTTGGTTAGGTTAACTGGTATCATAAAAAAATGCAAACATAATTACAAACATTATATATACATAATATATTATAATTAAATATTACCGTTGTTTCTTTTTGTACGTTTTGTTATATTTTTTTCTTGCATACACGTAAGAAATAATTTATACACATGCTTATATAGCCACTTAATTAATTATTAGTTCATTTATCATAACATAAACTATCATATAAATTAACATCATTCATGTTTGTATTGAAAATTATATATAAATGTAAGGCGACAAAAGCAGTAAGCTGAATAAAATAAGTTTTCATCAACTTATTTTAGCTTAACTTTTACCCAAAAACAAAGCAGTAAGGTGAATAAAACTTTTGTTATCAAAAATGTAAAACTATATAATAAAGTTACCAGTGTTTGGGTAGGTATTATTAATTTCCAAATAATTAAATATTTATAAGGCTCACGAGATTTCTATCTCGACGACTCAACTCAACTAGAATCTTAGTAAGTACATGTTTTAAACATAGAAGTTCATATATATTCAATTAGCCAACCCAAAACAAAATGTGAGGTGGTGGACCCATGATTTTAGGGGTTATTATGTCAATAGTTTAATTGCTTAAATTTTAAATTTATAAAATTGATTTTATCATAACTGGACTAATAAACACATCAGGCAGTGCACCTAATCGTGCAATAATATAGTTGTGATAAGACTATGTGTCAAACACAAGGGAATGGTGATTAATTAATTTGAAGTTTTTGATTATAGGTTAAATTAAACACACAAAAACAACAAGAAGGGGATTTATGTAATTATATCTCAAATAAACAATTAAACAGCAAATTGAGATAAACTAACTGAAGATAAATATCTTTAGGTACTTTGGTTTAGACTGGATTTCATCTCAAAATACTGGCTAACTACTAATTGCAATGAATATTTATTCATTATTCACCGATTCCTAATATGACTAGCATCATGATCAGACTACTAATCATTTGATTTCAACAAAACTATTAATTCAATGATCAAGTGAACAAACAATCATGCAAATCAATATTTTGTTCGTATTAAGCAAGATTTGATCTTTATTAATCCTAATTATCATAGAAATTAATTCATGCATAGAATGATAATCTACATATGCACACATTAAAGTTCATCACTTTATTATCTAACCCTAGGTTTTGATCAAGTGCTAGTCATAATTACCAATGATCATGGACAACTATGATTCAAATTAACAAAATCAGAATGATCATCTAAACTTTATTAAGTCAACAATAGAGTATAAATTAACAATCTTTAACGCATATGGATCTTGCAATCAAATTTAACAAAATAAATTAAACAAGAACAAACAATCCAAATAACAATTAATCTAAATTCTCAAAGATTCATCTAGTCATAAACACAATGCAAAGGGTTTTAACACCCAAATCAGAAAGTAAACATATATGGAATCACATTGGAATGCTAATCATGATCAGAACAACAAACCAAATGATTTCTGGCATGAATCCACTCTCTAATCCATCAGATCTTCTCTCTCTATACCAGATTAATGACCTTCCGGCCGCCTTCTAAACCCTCAAAACGGTAGAAGAAGGGTTTCTTGTCGACCAAAGAATGATAGAAGTCGTAATCTCTCTTCTGGTAAGCCAAATATCGCATTATATAAATTTTTAGACCGAATTACGTACACTGGGCATACTTTGATTTACAATGGGCGTAAGACGTAAATATACACGTTTTGATCCGGAACAACCCAACTCAGTACGCTAGGCGTACGTCCCATTACGTTGGGCGTAATGGGCTTCCTTCAGTCATCTCTTCCTTTTGCTATCCAACTCCAATTTCAACCTTTTTACTTCATTTCCGCTCTCAAAATAAATTATACATGTAAAAAATAAATTTAAGTATTATAAGTACCTTTTAACTCTAGATAGCATAAAAACATAGTATAAAATATTAAGAAAACGCCATATATATATATATATATATATATATAATATATATATATATATATATATATATATATATATATATATATAATATACGTTATCATAGCACGTGGGAAAAAAAATACATTATGTGAAAAATTCCCCAAAAAATTTCCACTACACTAAAAAATTTGAAGGGTAACATGGGCTACCCCGTGCATACATGCATGTAGGTCCGCCAATATATACAAAGTTTGTGTCTATTACTTAATAGTTCATTTACAATGTTCTATATCGAACGTTTTATATCTAGTACATCTTGGAGCTGTTGTTTCTTTATGATTCTTGATGAGGTAAACTTTTCCGCTAACACCTCCTCTAGCATCCGACAATTGTCCACAACTCACCAGCCCCAATATCTATTTTTTCCCTAAATGACAAATGTCATTTAAAGTGATGTGGTCGTTTTAACCATATTGGAGGCACGACTACTGATATGTTACCTCCTCAAACCCTATTTAATTAAATGAGATTTTTTATTTCTGTTGTCTTTGTTTCAGGATTGAACTCTCACGTGAACATTAGGACAGGATGATATGGACTCTGGGATATTGTGACTTATTATGCTTTAAAATTTGATATGCCTTTAGATAAAAAGAAAAAAAAAACGCCTAGCATATATAATATAATCATTCCCACCAAGAAACCAATAATTCCTCGATCGTGTGGCAGCCGTTGGAATTAATGGAAGTATGTTTTTTTTTTTTCTTAAAAATCTTTTGTAGATAAATCACGGAATTCATGGCAAAGGAAATCACAATTGTATGAAGAAAATACTGAACTCTTTTTCGTTTATTAATTAATTTTCCAACCATGGAAAAAACACTTTAAGGATGGAAAGGAATTGACATCCAGCATTCTCGTGATCCTTTGCAAAGTCCAAAGACTCTTTTTGGAGGTGTAGGGTTTCTATCAAATTGGATATGGGATGAAGCCGGAAGGGTTATATTCTCGTTCATTTTCAGATCTTATTCTTTTAATTAATATGTGGTTTCCTTCTGGAGTCTTATATTTTTTTAGATAATTTTATGTGAATTTGGAAGCATTTTCATATATTATATCTTAATAATAATAAAAATATATGTGAAAACTATAAAATAGAAATAAAAAACAAGTTTTCAGTATGAAGAACATGAGAGACGATATTTTAGAAAAATACGAATTATAAATTAACCATTTTAATACATACTAGACTTATTTATGAAAATATGAATTATAAATTAACCATTTTAATATATAGTAGGCTTATTTCTGAAAAGATAAATTATACCGTTTTAGTTATATGGTTTTGAACAATTTCTGTTCATCGAAGGTATGTGATTTCTCCAACATTGGTACTGTTCGTCTTTTCTATTGCCGTAGGGTTTTACAACGATCTCCACATGGGTTCTAATTCCTTTAATCGATGGAAACCTGATGAGCCTTGGGCCAAGATTCGAAAAGATGATGGTAATCGTAGTTTCAGAGAGCAACGACAGTCACAATTTCAGAATGGCGATCGAATTTCCAGTAAGAACGTATCATCCTTCTACGTTACTAAATTCCCAGACTCAGTGTTGAGCAATGATTTATGGCGGGTTTGTAATTGAATTGGAAAGGTTGTAGATGTATTTATTTCTAACAAGAAATCAAGATTGGGTTAAGTGTTTCGGATTCATCAGATTTATGGGTGTTACATATACTGAAAGCATGAGAAAAAAAATTGTGTGATGTTTGGTTTGGTTACTATAAACTGTTTGTATCTACCCCAAGAATCTCGAAATCAGTATCTAAACCTGATAAATCTTCTCCTAAAGGATATTCTCTGTGTAACAATATGGATAATAATGTAAGCCAAGCAAACTCCTATGCAAGTGTTGTTAAGGGTAATATAAAAGTCATTCCCGATATAAAGATGGTTGATGATATTATTCATATTAATTTTGGTGATTTTATTGTTGAAAGAAGAAGATGTGCTTGTTTAGTCAAAGCTAGAGACTTCCTTACTATACCTAATTTAAGGATGTTATGTTTTTATGACAACTTTGATGATTTTGACATTCGTTACGTTGGTGGTTTGTGGGTAATGTTTGAATTTAAGCATAAAGATGCTTGTAAGAATTTCATGAATAGTGGAGTTATGGATCATTGGATTATTGAGAAACGTCCTTGGGATAGAAACTTTGTCCCTTCAGAAAGATTGGTATGGATT